TTCCACGTCTCCTCCCGACCTCGCCTCAACCATGCTCCTCCATGAGGCCATGGCACTGCTGCAATGCACGCCCAGGCCGTCGCCGTCAACAACATCCGGAACCACGTCACCACCGTCCTCGACGTCAACTCCGGCAACTTCAACCGCTGGCGCGATCAGTTCCTGCTCATCCTCGACAAGTTCTCTCTTCAAGACCACGTCCACGAGGAACCTCCGGCCCCGATCTCCCCTGACTGGGCTCGGATGGACTGCGTCGTCAAGTCCTGGATCGTCGCCACGCTCACCGACGACCTTGCCAAGATCATCTCCGCCCAGGGCTCCACTGCCCGGCATGCCTGGCTCGCCGTCAAGTCCCAGTTCCTCGGCAACCGAGAGGCTCGCTCCATCCACCTTGAGACGCGGTTTCGCAACTTCGTCCAGGGCGACCTCTCTGTCACCGACTACTGCCGCCGGCTGAAGAAGATGGCTGACGACCTCACGGCTTTTGGCGAAGTGATCACCGACCGCACCCTCGTCCTTAACGTGATCTGTGGCCTCAACGAGCGCTTCAGTCACGTCGGGGCCCTCCTACGCCGCAGCCGGCCCTTAACCACCTTCCTGGAGGCTCGTGATGACCTCATCCTCGAGGAACTCACATTGGAGAACAAGGAGTCCCCTGCCACTGCTCTCGCTGCCTCCACCGCAGCAACAGGCTCCTCCAGCACTGCCTCACCCACATCCAACACGGGCTCCGGGGGCGCTAGCGGCCCTAAGTCCTCCAACGGCAATCGCCGCAGCAGGCGCGGCGGCGATGGAAAGGGGGGCCCTGGTGGCAACAGCAGCACTGGAGGCCACCGCCCTCCCTCTGGCGCCCAGCAGCAGCAGCATCAGATGGCCGGCGCCCAGCAACCTGCCACCGGTGGTCGCCCCTGGCCTAGTGTCTACAACCCATGGATGGGTTCCATTCAGATGTGGCCTGGGAGTCCTCGTCCTCCGCTGGCACCCATCCCGGTGCCTCCTCATCTGCAGGCACAGCAGCAGGCCCTCCTCGCCCAGCAGCAGCAGGCACTCGTCGCCCACCAGCAGCCTGCCGCCGTCGCTGCCTCTGATGGCTCAGGACAGTGGGCCGCCCCGGGGTATTACAATCCTGTGGCCGGCCTCCCTTCTTGGGACCAGTCGGCCCTCGCCTCCGCCTTCAGCACGATGTCGTTGACCCCTCCTTCGTCCAACGAATGGTACTTCGACACAGGTGCTACTTCACATACGACATCTCAGTCTTCCTCCCTTTCACATGTTATATTCCCGCGGTATCCTACTCCTTCATCTATTGTTGTCGGTAATGGTTCCATGCTTCCTGTTACTGCCACTGGCTCCACAGAGTTGTCCCCTACTTTACGTCTTAATAATGTTCTTGTGTCGCCACAACTTATTAAGAATCTCATCTCTGTGCGCCAATTCAATATCGACAACAACTGTTTTGTTGAGTTTGACCCTGCTGGTTGTTCTGTGAAGGTTCTTCCATCTCGGACTGAGATCGTTAGGTGCAATAGCTCCGGGCCGCTATATCCACTGCGCCTACCTCCAGCACACTCCTTTGTCGCTCAGGCTCCCTCCCCACTGTGGCATCGGCATCTCGGTCACCCCGGTCATGAGGCGTTGTCGAAGCTTGCGTCTACTTTCCTGTCACATTCAGGACTGTTCAGATCTATGTCACGCTTGTCAGTTAGGGCATCATGTTTGTCTGCCCTTTCATTCGTCCACCTCTCGTGCGTCTAGCAAGTTTGATCTTATTCATTGTGACTTGTGGACATCTCCAGTTGTTAGTGTTTCTGGTTACAAATACTATTTGGTCATACTTGATGATTGCACTCACTACTTGTAGACTTTTCCTTTGCGACTCAAATCTGACACTTACAGTACGCTTGCCCACTTCATCGCCCACGCCTCCACCCAATTTGGCGCCCACGTCAAGGCTATTCAGTGCGACAACGGGAAAGAGTTTGACAACTCTAGCACCCATCACTTCTTCCTCACACAGGGCATCCATCTTCGTATGTCCTGCCCCTACACCTCGCCTCAAAATGGTAAAGCTGAACGCATTATTCGCTCCATCAATAATGTCGTTCGCTCACTGCTTTTTCTGGCGTCTATGCCTCCCTCCTACAAGGCGGAGGCCCTCTCCACAGCGACTCTTCTGCTTAACATACTGCCCACCAAGACTCTAAAGTTCTCCACGCCCCACCTTGCCCTGTACGGCACGCCGCCGGTGTATGATCACCTACGAGTCTTTGGCTGCAAGTGTTATCCAAACCTGTCCACCACCGCTCCTCATAAACTCGCTCCTAGGTCTGCCTTGTGTGTCTTCCTAGGCTATTCCGCTCACCACAAAGGATACCGCTGCCTTGACCTCTCCACCAATAGAGTCATCATCTCCCGGCACGTCATCTTCGATGAAACGGCCTTCCCCTTTGCTGAGCGCAATGGTCCTAGTATTCCGGCGGACTTTGAGTTTCTTGATGCTACTGATGTTGTGCCCGCTCCTATTGGACCGTTGCACAAGTTTTTGTCTGCAGGAACACCATCCAGCACCTCTAACGTCACCAGCGCCCCTGTCGGTCCCTCTGAGACTGTGCCTGGGGTGCCCCTGACGCCTCCGGTGGCTGCTACTGATCCCCCGGCGCCCGCGCTCTACATCCCGCCTACGCTGCGGACGCCAGGGACCCCTCCCACGCCACGCGCGGCTCAGGACGCGCCCAACACGACTGGAGGCGCTCCACCTTGCCAGCTGTACATCCTACCAACGCTTCGCGCGAGCTCGCAGTCTCCAGCACCGACCGCGGGCTCCACAGCGCCGGTGTCACCTCCTCAGGCACCCCGAGGGCCCCCGCCCGGGTTCCCGCCTCTTCGTCCAAACCGCGCCTTCGACTACCACTACACGAGCCGGCCTCGACCACAGCCTGCTCCAACTGCTCCTGTCACCGCCGCCCCGGCTGCACCTGCACCAGCCGCGCTGCTCCCACTGCCCAAAGGGGCTGTTGCTGTCCCTCCTGTGACCAACCAGCACGCCATGGGCACACGTTCGAAGAGTGGTTTTCGGATGCCTGCTGCGTACCACGCTATGTCTATGTCACCGATACCGAAGACCTTCCGTAGCGCTCTTGCCGACCCCATGTGGCGAGTTGTAATGGAAGAGGAACACAGTGCCCTGCTGAAGAATCACACTTGGGATCTCGTGCCTCGCCCCCCTCGGGCCAACGTCGTCACCGGCAAGTGGATCTTCAAGCACAAATTTCAGTTTGATGGCTCCCTCGAAAGGCATAAGGCGCGTTGGGTTCTCCGCGGCTTTACCCAGCGGCCTGGTGTGGACTTCGATGAAACATTCAGTCCCGTGGTGAAGCCAGCTACTGTTCGCACGGTGCTCTCCCTGGCTCTCTCTCGTCGTTGGCCCATCCACCAGCTTGATGTGAAGAACGTCTTTCTTCATGGCAACCTGACAGAGACAGTTTATTGTTAGCAGCCGTCTGGGTTCGAAGATCCAGCTCATCCGGACTATGTTTGTCACCTGAAGAAGTCACTATATGGCCTCAAGCAGGCCCCTCGTGCTTGGTACAGTCGCATGGCCACACACTTGCTGTCCCTTGGGTTTGCTGAAGCCAAGTCAGACACCTCACTCTTCGTTTACCAGCGCGGATCAGACACAGCTTACCTGTTGCTCTATGTTGATGACATCGTCCTCACAGCCTCCTCAACCGGCCTTCTTCGGTGTATCATCTCAGCCCTTCAGCGGGAGTTCGCTATGAAGGACCTTGGTGAACTGCATTACTTCCTCGGTATGCATGTTCAACGCAGTGGTGATGGCCTTCTTTCTCAGCGACAATATATGCTGGACATTCTTGATCGCGCCGGGATGGCAGAGTGTAAGCCGTGTTCCACTCCAGTTGACACCAATCCGAAGATTCCTGTAGCAGATGGCACCCCTGTCTCTGACCCTTCAGACTTTCGCAGCCTCGCTGGAGCCTTACAGTACCTAACGTTCACCCGGCCGGATATTGCATATGCTGTGCAGCAAGTCTGTCTTCATATGCACGACCCTCGTGAGCCTCACCTTGCAGCTCTGAAGCGGATTCTGCGCTATGTTCGAGGCACTCTCCACCTTGGTCTCCTGCTGCGACCGTCTACTTCGGCTGATCTTGTCGTCTACACCGACGCTGATTGGGCTGGTTGTCCAGACACCCGCAAGTCCACCTCGGACTATGCTGTGTTTCTTGGCGACAATCTTGTCTCTTGGTCCTCCAAGCGCTAAAACACGGTGTCAAGATCCAGTGCTGAAGCGGAGTATCGCGCGGTGGCCATTGGAGTTGCTGAGGCCACCTGGCTGTGCCAGCTTCTTCTAGAGCTGCATGCCCCTCTCCGGCGCGCCACACTGGTGTATTGCGACAACATCAGTGCCGTCTACATGACCTCCAACCCGATACAGCATCAGCGAACCAAGCACATTGAGATTGATCTTCACTTCGTCTGGGAGCGAGTCGCCATTGGTGATCTTCGTGTTCTGCATGTTCCCACTTCACAATATGCGGATATCTTCACCAAAGGGCTGCCCTCTTCAGTGTTCACGGAGTTTAGGTCCAGTCTAAACATGCAGAGTGGCTGACGATTCGACTGAGGGGGCGTGTTAGAATAGGCGCCTATGGGCTGGCCATGGGCCTGGCGCCCAAGCCTATTGGGTGGGCTGCCTCTAGGGATTATGGTAGATGATCTTTGATTAGGCAAGGATCACCGTTGATTGGGTGTTTCTATAAACCCTTCCTGATCCTTGCCTATATAATGTACTCCCTATACCCATATCAATCTATCACAATTTCCCGAGACCTATTCGCTCTCAGATACTTTCCGACTGCACATCAGATCTAGAAAGAAGTCACGTGACCACAACATTTATGCAGCATGCACTACCGAGTTGAGTCATTCTAATTCTAACTATGCAAGTACGATAAATGTTGGTACTTGAGATGTCTTACAATTCTTTCTCCAACTGCTTCTTGATGAATTCCTTCGAGTGGGCTGTAACTTTATATGTCTTGTTGCAGAATATAAGCACAGGAAACTTTTTCTTCACTACAGTTGCCTTTGTCAGAATGTCATACAGGTACCTGCAAAAAGTAAAATAATATTGTTATGAAATGTTAACACTAAGAAATGATCAAACAGAGTGTTGGGAATAGTGGACAAGGCTTCTAGTCACACAATGATAACTACAATGATAAAATTATTCGAACAGAGTAATTTATGCAATCTTGGGGTATGAAAAGGGCCCCTAATTACACCGCTAATTTCAACTTAGCACAAAGGAAAATAAAAGTAGTTGAAATAGGCACCAAACCAAAGATATTTGCTAAAAAGTAAAACAGAGGGCACCAAAATTACTCTGCAGCAGCTTGCATGCTAGACAAGAAATCTTGAGCATCAACAACGAAAACAACCCCAGCAGCTTTAGGCAGGACTTCATCAAGCTTGGGTTTGAGCCTAGCATGACCAGGAACATCAACAATATGCACAGGTTTTACTTTGCCTTTCTGCAGGGAAGGGCAACAGGAAGGTTTAGCAGAAATATCGCAGTCAGGAAATGCATGTTTCTTCATAAGAAACAAAGCTATCCACTTTACTTTTATCACAATATGTTGGAAAAAGAATTAGCTCTAAAAGTTTCCATACCCTTTCTTGCTCCAAATGCAGCACAAAAGTATCACTGTTTTCTTCCATAGAAGTCACAGTTCCTTGATGTGATGATCCGTCCCGAAGCTGACAAGCACAAACAGATTAGTAGGATAGCAACAAAAGATAATGTATAAGATAACCCACCTACTTGTTACATTGGTATTGATACAAATGCCAAATGATCTATAGACAAAAGGGGAAAATATCCTGGTTTTCCATGGTACTGCATTGCAGTACTTCAAAAATAAGATATGAGTATAATCAACTAAAAACAAGCCAACTAGTCTATATAGAAAAACGAAATCAAATCAAATAAGAAAGATATACGTGAAAGCATGTTAACAAGCAGAACTGATGCCCGTCTAGAATGCTCATCTCACACCCTAAATATAATTCAAAAAATGAGGTTCGGACATTATTTTGCACACTAGATACCAGTACCACAACCTTGTTCTTCACTTGTAAAACCGTATACTTCACAGACCAAAAATATTGGAAGTTACCTGGTAGAAAAGAGTGGTTTTGCCACTGCCATTAAGCCCGGATAGCACTATGGTGTTTGGTTTAGAGGATTTCAGACAAGATGCTGCAGAAAAAAAAACATAAAATGGAATTGCTTATCATTTACCACTCTAATGTAATGAATTGTATGATAGAGCAGATATCGTAACAAGCAACGCAGCAGCGCCTCATGGTGGAGCCAGGACCCAGGCTCCAGCCCTGGTTTGAGGCCTAAAATTAGATCGAAGCAAACTTAAGAAACTGCACAAATGTTGAAGCTAAAATGAATTGCAGCTTGTTTTAACTATCTCAGCCCTGGGCTCTAACCCAATCCTGATCCATCCCTGGGTAACTATCAATTTAAAACAGAAAGGAAAAGCAAACCCCCTCTTCACTTCATAGCACTAAGCATGCCATCATCAGATACCTCATGCTCAAGAACTCGTAAATGTTATATCATCTTAGAGCTGGAACAATTTACAATGCACAATAATAAATTAATAATGTAATAAAACATAGGCCTAATCTTCAATTATTCAATCAATAGCACTCCATCACTACTACTCAGTTGGAAATTTCAAATTTGTGACACAATGACACCTAAAAGTCTGAATGGACCAAAGTTGAAAAATTCCACTATCTGTTTCCTTTCTAAGCACAACTATAAATTGTAAAAGAAAAACTAATAAACGTTTACAAACTCAACTACTCAAGATTGGCTAATTTATAAAGCTATAAATCATATCATTTCTCCCCTCATTAATTAGGTAGGTAACTGTGGCTTGCTCTCCTAGTTGCTTAATTACAGAGTATAGCCTTGCTACACTATCCAGATCAGTTCCCATTTGATTCAAGGCATGTAATCAGTTCCACTGTATGCATATATATATGAACGAGACAACACAGTACAGCTAAATATGCAATTCCAGATTCACAACTAGTTTATTCTGCAGTGATGAATCAACCACAAACAAAAATTTAACAAATAACCACTCTGATGCTTTTAGGTGACAATGCCTCTCCAGGGACTCCAAACAGTCCCCTGCTGCAAAATTGGACACGCCTATTCCATTCCTAGGCCACCATACGTGGATGTTCGCAACACAACATTCCAAGACTCCATGGGCACTCAATGCAGGGCAAAAGGAACTCTAGGTTTGGCACCGCACCTACGATAAGCACCAGGATTGTGACGGCAACCACCGCAGCCGCCACATAGATCTGCTCCGGGGGCTGCTGGCGGATCCAGCTCTCGGCTTGGCGCACCCACACCTCGGCTTGGCGAATCCACTCGTCCATGGCTGCTTAACAAAGAACGCAGAAGAATTCTTGAGAATAAACCGCGTCCGCCGCACCTTGGCTAGATCGATTTCGCTCGATCGCTGCATAATAAGAAACCAAACCAAGCAACGGATGAACCGGGTAAGTACCGCAACATGTAGAATGCAGTTCCACACAAAACGAAACCACAGCCCCGAGCAAACCCCTCTCCAAGCAAAGCTAGGGTCTCTTACCTCAGATACCAGGAAATAGATCTAATCCCAGGTGCACGATGAACAGAGGGTGAAGGGGAGAGCAAGAGGAGGAGGAGGACTGCGTCGTCGCGCGACAGGGGTATCCTGTCTCCCTGTCCCTCGTCGCCGACGGCGAGATGTGGCGAATTGCGGCAGTGGAAGACTGAATAGGAAAGTATGTCTGCCACCTGCTAGCGAGGGGGAGATGGACGGAGCAGGATAGGAAACCGTCGCACGTGCGGCGTGCCACCTCGAACCTCCTTCGTTGAACACAATTTCTCCTTTGCAAAGGGGTTCATAGGAAAGTTTTATACGATTTCATTCCAATTTCTCCATTTTCCTTTGTTCCAAAGAGGTCTAAAAGAAAAAAAAATCTTTTTAAGACTTGTTTGAAACACGGGAATATATTTTATAAGTTTATCATGCAGGTCCTTGTTTATTTCCATCTTAACCTACGACCGTGACAAAGAACTACAAGTATATAACTATAACATGTTTGATCCTTGGAATTAAATTCATTTCAATAATTATAATTTAGATATATATTAATTAAGTTAATATAATTGTATATGAAATATATTTGTATATTTATTGTTAGGTAGGTAAGGAACATACTTATATGTTGCATTTTTATTGTAGAGAAGTGAGTTGAAGAGTGTGCTACAAGTTGAAGAGTGGAATTATAGCATAGTAATCCATAGAATCCATTTTCATCTCCCACCTTATGAATTTGAGATAGGTTTTTTTTGAACTTAGAAAAGTTATGAAATGTCAAATTCCAATCCAAATACCCTAATCCATTATGTAGAATTCAATTCCTCCAAAATGAACGGTCGTCCAAATGCTATCTCATAAATAGAATTCGCTAGATTGCAATTATTGAATATCAAATGTGGTTCTGATATGTCCTTCAGTACAATTGTTATTAGTTAAAAAGTATGTTTCATTTCAGTTTAAGAGTGGATTTCATTTCACCCCGAGTTTGAAAATAAACCATAACTCGAACGCCGCCGCTGCTAGTGGTCAGATCTGCGTCGGTGGTGGGCGGATCCATGTCTCCACCACCGCTGGTGGCCAGATTGATCCGCGCCCCCCACTGCTGTTGGTGGTGGCCTATTGGTGGCCGGATCCACGCTGGGAGCCGGGAGATCCGTCGGGCACCGACGCCGCGTGGGCACTGCCGCCGCGGGATGCAAAGAGAGAGAGAGTGGGAGAGGTGGGGAAGAGAGAGACGGAGGGCGCTGTTGTCATCTACACGAACTAAGAGAGAGGGAGGGAGCCAGACGAGAGATGGGTATCAAACCCTAACTTCACGTGTATATATATACATGAACATAGTTGTCGGGCCTCCTAGGCCTATTGGTCCTCGGTGTTTTTTTTACAGAGGCGGACCTTTTAATAGGCCCATCTCCTTAAATCCATTTTATGAGGCAAGACATTTTTTTACCGCCTCCGTAAATCTATTTTGGGAGACGGACAGTTTTTTTACCACCTCTGTAAATAAAAAGTCCACCTCCAAAAATCCTCAGGCATTTTAGGAAATGGTTGTGACCGCCTCTGTCCATAATTATGCGGTGTGTCGAGAAATAATTTATGTAGTAGTGAGCCTAAGGTCCATTTAGCTTGCTAAAACTGTCGGTGTTTCGAGTTGCCACCGGCTAGTAAATTTCTAATATTGTGAATCTGGTCTGGATGGTGTGCTAAGAGGACACGAGGTTTATACTGGTTCGGGCAGAATGTCTCTACGTCAAGTTCGTTGCTGTTGCTCGTGTTACTAGCACTGAAAGTTCATAGTAGGGGTTACAAACGGTCGAGAGAGGGATATGTCCCAAGTCTCTGGTGAGAGGGGCGAATGGGTGCCGAGGGCTCGGTCGCTTCTCGGCTGTGTGCTAATCGATTCGGGGTTCGAGTCCCAATCGGTGTGATGTGCTGCGATGCCAAAAGGTCCCCCTCCATGGGACGTCCTGCTTTTCCTTTTATAGGCCAAGGAAAAGCACGTGTTATAGTGGAGGGAAAAGAGGAAAATAAGGAGGAGAAGAAGTCCTCCAGGATCGCCGGTTCCTTCTTTTCCTTCACGCGGGTCCCGTCGACACTATAAACGTCAACAAGAACAGCTCCACGTCGTGGTCTTGTATGTCACTGGCACCATGCACAGGCATCGTCTCCCGGTCGTGGCGCTCCACTTCGTCCTAGCAAACGTCATGGTGAACTAAAGCGCCTGTCAGTGCTTGTGCGAGGGTTAGGTAGAACAGCACCGGTACGCCCGACGCTGTTCCTGATGTGAATCCCTAGGTATGGCCCGTCATGGCCACGGGGTATATCGAGGCATGTCGGTCACCTTCCTGGTGTTAGAGCTTTGACCCAAGCCCATTCGCTTGGACCTAGAGTGGTTGGCAGTGATATGGGTCTTCGTTGGGCGAGATGGATCCCCCGGCCTCGGGGTCGATCGAGGTGGAGTCTCCACCCAGAGGCCGGGCGAGGCAGAGCCTGCCCCCAGAGGTCGAGTGAGGCGGAGCTAGCCCTCAGAGGTCAGGCGAGACAGAGCCCACGACCTCAGTGTCGGGCGAGGCGGAGCCCGCCCTCAGAGGTCAGGTGAGTCGGAGCGCAAACCCAAGGGTCAGGTGAGGTGGAGCCCGCCCCTAGAGGCTAGGCGAGGCGGAGCACACCCCTAGAGGCCGAGCGAGGCGGAGCCAGCCCTTAGAGTTCGGGCGAGGCTGAGCCCGTGGTCTCGGTGTCGAGCGAGGCAGAGCCCGCCCTCAGAGGTCGAGCGAGGCAGAGCCAACCCTCAGAGGTCAGGCGAGGCAGAGCCCGCGGCCTTGGTGTCGAGTGAGGCAAAGCCCGCCCTTAGAGGTCGGCGCGAGGCAGAGCCAGCCCTCAGAGGTGAGGCGAGGCCGATCCCGTGGCCTCGGTGTCGGGTGCGTTGAGCCCACCTTCAGAGGTCGGGCGAGACGAAGCGCAAACCCAAAAGTCGGGCGAGGTGGACCCCGTCCCTAGAGGTCGGGCGAGGCGAAGCCCACGACCTCGGTGTCGAGCGAGGCGGAGCTTGCGCACCTAGGGATCGGTTGGAGCTGTAGTCATGCTCTTGATTGCTTGGATAAATCAATGTTGATGGTTATTAGCTCCTCCTCTTCGGGTACCCTAGTATTGGCCCCCGACAGTAGCCCCCGAGCCTACAGAGGAAAAGAATACTCCTTCGGAGGCTTTTCTGAACGGGACGACTCCGAAGGCCTCGGCCTTCTTTTGTTGCCCATAGCGTGACCAGGGGGCGATGATTTCCTTTCCTCGAGCCCCCTCTAGTAGTAGGGGCCCAGTCGAGGTGCGGCTCGTCATTGCGATTATCTTCCCTCAAGCGTTTCTTCCGATAAAAACGGAGGAGCCGAACTGTGCCACGATTTTCCTTTAAGGACGAATTATGGCACGCGGTGAACTGTTAATGGGATAGTCTGAGTGGGTCCCCCAGCATCATGTCCGTGGGGGTCTAGTTTGGATCAGCTTGGTGACTGACCCCAGATTCTCAGCGGTTAATCCATATAGTTCTCGGGTCCGTTTGATCGGTCCCGAGGGCTAAGTACCTTTCTTCGAAAAAAAACCATGCATCGTAACCGCCCGAGACTCGAACGTGGGCTAGGATGCCCGCGGTGCTCATGCGCCCAGGTACTGGTCGCTAGCGGGCCCATCCCTTTCCACCTCTCACCCTAAAGGCGCCCAGAGCGATTATCGAACCCGTCGATGGGCCGCCTGTGAACTCCTGGGCCCAATCGGGCCATAGAGGCGCTTTTAGATCCATATTCCTCTTACTCATGATGAGTTGTGGCCCATGCAGAGAGGTGAAACATCCGGCAAGTTTTTTGAGGGAACGGATGGAGATTGTGTGCGCGAGTCCAGCGGCGAGACGTGGTGGTAGATCGTGGTAGGCACGGAGATCTAGGCAGGCGGTTGGTTTCCTCGCACCCGTCGCCCCTATAAAACCAAATGGTTCACCCCTAGGGTTCCATACCTTGCATCCTTGCCTCCATAGCCACGACCACCGCCGCCAATCGCTTAGGGTCCCTGTCTATGCATCCCCATCACCGTCAAGCTCACATCTGTCTGCCCCCACCTCTAATGGATCTGTGGTGCCGCTCCGATATCACCTTCCAGCATGCATGGAAGGCCTCATCCATCGTGGTCTTCTCCGCGCGCGGACCTCGGTCGAGGAGTGGCTGCTGCCCCGTGAGGAGGATCTGCCATCGCCGCCCGACGGCTATGTGGTGTCATTCACCCACTTCCATGAGCGTGGGTTCATGACCCCACCCACAAATTTCTTCGAGGGCTGCTGCATTATTACAAGATCGAGCTATAGCATCTCAACCCCAACGGGATCCAGCACATGGCGACGTTTGTCGCCCTGTGCGAGGGGTTCCTAAGGATCAGCCCTCACTTTGATCTGTGGAGGTACTTCTTCACTATCACCCTCCAGAAGAAGAGGGAGAAGAGCGGTAGACAGGAGCTGCATATGCCGATGGGGTGCACCGGCATCCAGCTCTGGAACAATCGGGTCGGTGAGTACCCGCCCATGCGACTCTCGACATCCATCAAGGGTTGGCACTCACAGTGGTTCTACCTCAAGAACAATGCCGCCACCCCTCTATCGGAGTTCACCGGTCGCCTAATCGAAGAGGCCCCAGAGTCGTAGAGGAAGTGGGGCATCTCGAAGAAGGACAAGAAGAAGATCCAGGACCACATCGCTGCCATCCACATCCTCAAGGAGAATGGCCTAAAGGGGTCAGGCGTCATCGGGGCCTA